GATTGAAAGATAAGTCATTGGCAAAAATGAATGGTTTTCTGTCATGAAACAAGTAAATGGTTCTCTGTCATGAAACATCATGCTTTATGACAGAGAATTGTTGCAAGTAAACAAGCAAGGTTTGTGTTGTTCGACCCAAGTTGACTTTCCTAGATTATAACATTGAACTTCATCCTTCTTAACCACGTCATAGAAACGATTCAGGCAATTAAAAAGAAAAAAGAAAAAAAAATAGCCCAAAGACATATAGTACCAAGAAAATTGGATAAATTTCTATGTTTGATCAAATGTCTCAAAAGGACTTGTTTTATTTTACTCAAAGAATCAAAATTCTAAAAAGATGTGGATTTGTCTAATAATTTGCATGATATAGCCCATATATAGAATTTTATGATAATCCTGAATGTGCATTTCAGTAAAAATATTTTTTAAAAATTTAAAGACCATTAGGGAATGCCTGAAAGAGAAAAACATAACGTTTATTTTTTTCTGTTGCATTTTCAGGGCTCACATTTTTCCTTTCAGTGCGCAGACAAGCCACTAGAGGGCACTGTATAGCTCTGCTTCCTCAAACCCTGTAAGAGAGCTGAATCTCATCTCTCATTTCCCCACTGAGGACACTCCAGGTTTTGCCTTACTTTAATAGGGTCAGATAGTGACAACCCATCTGCCTGAAGAAAGCTGCAAACCTGTTCTTATCCCAAGGCTAGTTCCCATTCCCCAGGTTACTAAAAGCGGATTGGTCCTCAGGTGACCGAGAGCAAAGCATCCATTGCTTTCCTGTGGCTACCTATGTCACCTAGTCCCCAGCCCTGATGGCTGGAGTTTACTGCCCCCCAGCCTCTGTAGGGCATTGTGCCAGTTGCTGGAAACAGAACAACAGAGACAGGACCCACCAATACAAAGGAAAGGATCGTTCAGAACAACCAGAGACAGGTGTTAACAAACAGGTCTGTGTCAGCACTCTAGGAGTTTGGAGAATTGTTAACAATGCGATTCTGCAGACGAGGAAAGTGGGGAGTCGTGGAAGAGAAAGCACTCTCAGACTGTGACCAGTCGAGGCTGAAGAAGGTATGAAAGCTGAATTTTAGGCTGTTTCCTTTTCCTTTCCCCTTCCTGCCTTAGCAAGGGACCTCCATACTGGAGGGAACCTGAAGCTAAGATATGACACAGGTTACCCAAAGTATATTTAAAAAATGATCAGCCCATACACCCCAGGACTGCCCATGAGAAGTTGCTTTCCTCTGCACTGCAATATTCATTTGTCATGTATTGATTTGAGAAACATTTATTGTCAAGTGTGCCCCAAGCGCTCATTGGTAAATAAGATGCCATAGTCAGGGTGTGCCCACTTAAAAACTGTAATTCAGTGGGAACACAATGATTGCAATGAAGTGTAATAAGTCCTGTGATAAGGAGAGAAGATGGCACCATATGTGTACAGAGCAGGGGCACCTGACCAAGACAGTAAGTCAGGGAAGGCTTCGTGGAGGAAGTACTAGTCAACTGAGACCCTAAGCAGAACTGGAGGCCACCTAAAAAAGGAGTAGGTGTATTCCAGGTGAAGGCAGCACAGTCCAGAGGAAAAAAGAATCAAGTAAATTTGTATTTGCATATACACAGTTTTGAGATCTTGCTGTTTTCCACTTATCCCTTTTATCCTGAGTCTCCATAACTTTAACTGTTTTTGAAAATATGATTTTAATTGTTGCTCTAATAGTCCATTGTAAAAGTAAACATTTATTTACCCATTTTCAGAAATAGCATTTTTAAGACTCATGCTAATTGCTCTCCCTTCGTCAGTACAAAATCATGTGAAATAATTCTTACTGCTTATATAAATATCAACATTTCCTTTATGGGGCTGACTCTTGAGCACAGTTCCTGCAACACAACCTGATATCCAGCCATAACAAACACTGAATTTATGGAAAGTATTGATTGGTTACATATTGTTTAATTTTAAGTTTTTTATAAATTTCGCTGCAGTTGTTTTTCATGAATTGGCAGAGCCTTAAGAGGCGCATGATTGTATATCTAGAAGACCTCATCGCCTCAGCCCCAAATCTCCTGAAACTGATAAGCAACTTCAGCAAAGTCTCAGGATGCAAAATCAATGCGCAAAAATCACATGCATTCCTATACACCAATAACAGACTTAAAGAGAGCCAAATCAAGAAAAAAATTCCATTCACAATTGCCACAAAGAGAATAAAATACCTAGGAATACAACTAACAAGGAACGTAAAGGACCTCTTCAAGGAGAACTACAAGCCACTGCTCAACGAAATAAGAGAGGACACAAACAGATGGAGAAACATTCCATGTTCATGGTTAGGAAGAATCAATATCGTGAAAATGGCCAAACTGCCCAAAGTAATTTACAGATTCAATGCTAACCCCATAAAGCTACCAATGACCTTCTTCGCAGAACTGGAAAAAACCACCTTAAACTTCATATGGAACCAAAAGAGAGCCCACATAGCCAAGTCAATTCTAAGCAAAAAGAACAAAGCGGGAGGCACTTCCCTATACACTACCGGATTTCAAACTATACTACAAGGCTACAGTAATCAAAACAGCATGGTACTGGTACCAAAACAGAGATATAGACCAATGGAATAGAACAGAGGTCTCGGAGGCAATGCAACATATCTACAACCATCTGATCTTTGACAAACCAGACAAAAACAAGCAATGGGGAAAGGATTCCCTGTTTAATAAATGGTGTTGGGAAAACTGGCTAGCCATGTGCGGAAAGCAGAAACTGGACCCCTTCCTGATACCTTACACTAAAATTAACTCCAGATGGATTAAAGACTTAAACATAAGACCTAACACCATAAAAACCCTAGAAGAAAATCTAGGCAAAACCATTCAGGACGTAGGTGTAGGCAAGGACCTCATGACCAAAACACCAAAAGCATTGGCAACAAAAGCCAAAATAGACAAATGGGACCTAACCTAATCCAACTCCACAGCTTCTGCACAGCAAAAGAAACAGTCATTAGAGTGAATCGGCAACCAACAGAATGGGAAAAAATTTTTGCAGTTTACCCATCTGACAAAGGGCTGATATCCAGAATCTACAAAGAACTAAAACAGGTTTACAAGAAAAAAACTAACAAGCCCATTCAAAAGTGGGCAAAGGATATGAACAGATACTTTACAAAAGAAGACATACATGAGGCCAACAAACATATGAAAAAATGCTCATCATCACTGGTCATCAGAGAAATGCAAATCAAAACAACACTGAGACACCAGCTCATGCCAGTTAGAATGGTGATCATTAAAAAATCTGGAGACAACAGATGCTGGAGAGGATGTGGAGAAATAGGAACACTTTTACACTGTTGGTAGGAGTGTAAATTAGTTCAACCATTGTGGAAGACAGTGTGGTGATTCCTCAAGGACCTAGAAATAGAAATTCCATTTGACCCAGCAATCCCATTACTGGGTATATATCCAAAGGTTTATAAATCGTTCTACTATAAGGACACGTGCACACGAATGTTCATTGCAAAGACCTGGAACCAACCCAAATGCCCATCGATGATAGACTGGACAGGGAAAATGCGGCACATATACACCATGGAATATTATGCAGCCATCAAAAACGATGAGTTCGTGTCCTTTGTAGGGACATGGATGAACCTGGAAACCATCATTCTCAGCAAACTGACAGAAGAGCAGAAGATCAAACACCGCATGTTCTCACTCATAGGCGGGAGTTGAACAATGAGAACACATGGACACAGGGAGGGGAGCACTACACACTAGGGTCTGTTGGGGGGAAGTAGGGGAGGGATGGTGGGGGGTGGGGAGCTGGGGAGAGATAGCAAGGGGAGAGATGCCAGATGTAGGTGATGGGGAGGAAGGCAGCAAATCACACTGCCACGTGTGTACCTATGCAACAATCTTGCATGTTCTTCACATGTACCCCAAAACCTAAAATGCAATAAAATAAATAAATGGGAAAAAAAAAAGAGGTGCTCTGGATTCTTGTCCTGCTGCTCAGATTACCCGCTCCGTGTCATTCATTCTTCCATCTCCCCCAAGTCCACATCTCTGCTCCCTCCATCCCCTAGTCCCTCAGTCTCAGGCTCCTCCCTCTCTGGGATGCTCTGCTGATACTTATCTCCATCTTTTCTCCACTAAATAATTTTTTTTTTCTCTATGGCCCAGATTCCTGAAGCTGCAAATATTGGCTTCATAAAAGATTTTTTTTAAAACCACACTTTGGGTAAAAATATAAATATGATATATGTGGCAAATTGCTCACATAGCAAATTGATTTTCCGGGTCAGGCAGGAAAGACTTTCACAAAAATCTTACAGGAATTAAAATGATTTAGATGGAGTAGCTAATCACCATCTGTTGAATCATTTCAGATCTAATTTATATTTTTTGTTCTGCCTCCTTTTAAAATTGAGCTTCCTCAGATTTCCATACCCTGCACTTTAGCCTCCTTTAACAATAAGGTTTTGGGTTTGTTGGGTTTAGTTTCTGACTGTTTGCCATTACTGTCTTGGTATTCACTTATGCTTACTTACGCTTATCTCAGAGAGAAACGGCTCACCGGTTTCATAGCTGTCCAGGCACTAGCTATTCAGTACAAACTCTATTTTCAATGAAGGATTTCTTGTGTCTCGTGTCTGTTACATTGCTGTATGACTCACCATGAGTTTGGGAGTCTTTCAGAACCTCAGAACACTCAAATGCTTTAAATTTCTCAATTATGTTCATTTCACATATTGGAAGTCGCTTTCATTTGGACCACAGGATCTCGACATAGAAATGAGAAGCTCCATAGCTCCACAACAGTTACGTCAGCCTGGCACATGCCCTGGCTCAGAGCTTCGCAGTCTGGTTCTTTGTCCAAGTGGGTGGCTCTTGTCTATCACCTTGCTATACCCACTTTACTTATGCAAAGTTAATATCACAAACGGCAGCCCGTTCCTTGCGGTGAAAATTGTACTTACCACTTTCATAGCCCCAGTTAAGAAGATACCCATGTATCTTTATTAACAGGCACTTAACAACTTTGCATCATTTAAAATGCTTCCCCTGCCTATTAGCTGATGATGGCCTCAGGAAGGTGGACCTGGAAGATAACAGCTAGCAGGCTGAGGCCAGACACTAGCACTTGCAGTTGTCCTTGGTGGTTTTTTTGCACTGACTTGGGGAGCCAGCTCATGATCTCAGGATGTATGGAAAAATAATCTTTGCATTACTATTGTCAGGTAAGTGATTTTATTTTAGCTTGGTCCTGTTTTATTGGTTATGAGATCATAGAATAAAATAGAAACGACCCTATTTTAGTTCTATCTTATTTAAATGAATAAATGAGTAGTATTTCCTATTCCAGTTTGGTGGATGGATTTTACTGGAACTCAGCTGCCAATGTGGGGGAAATGGCACAAGGAGCCCAGTATTTACGGCTGAATCCAGTTTTCTAGTATGAGAAGCTTCCCTCAATTCTAAGTCTAGCCAGAACTAAAAGAATTGTACCAAATGCTGTGAGAAATACCTCTGTGTGAATGAATGTATTGCTTTGTTTGAGTTATAAGGAGATTCGTTTCCAAACTAGAGTTATTAATGAAGGTGTTGGTAGCTATATGGCTTTGAGTTTTCCAAAAGTGTAACTTTCTACTTCTGCCAAATGGTGAGAAACCAAAAGTATGAACACTGAAACCGTGGGGAGTTGCTCACTTCTCTGTGGGTCCATTACTAAAGCGTGACATTGGAAGAAAAAAAAAAAAAAAAAACTCTTACTGGTTCAGGTGTCATGTGAATTTTTGAAGAAATCTAAATCCATTAAAATAAAGAAATGTCATAGGGTTATTATTAAATTGTATTAATTCAATAATTTGAATTTAATTTAACTTCATTTAAATTTAGTTATTAATTTAGTGTATTAAGTTTACATGAGTTTGACCTCTTTCTGAGAATGTTACAGTTAAACACCCTCTCAAGTGAGTGTTTATGTGTTAGCATAACTACTGACCAGCACACAAATAAGGGGCAGGCAGTTACTTGAAACATTCTGAGTCTACTAGACATTATTGTACCCTAAGTTAGAGCAAGTGTCAAGGATCTACGAAACACTCTGTAGCATATAGGGAAGAGAGATCAGCATTTTCTAGGATACCCTAGGAGAGGATAAAATAGTGTAATAGTTAAGAGAACAGGTATGAGGAACAGACAAAACTGGATTTAAATCTAGTTTTATTTCTCAAGGCTGGGGAACATGAAGGCAAATTATGGACCCACATTTTTTTATGTGTCCTCCTCTGTAAATTGCAGGCAATGTTGATACTTACCTCAAAGTAATAACATAAAGACCAAACCGAGTATTTAATGGAATACACTTCCTGATGCCTGAAACAAAATAAAATGTTAAGCTTACTATGCATTTTCTATGCTAAGAGTTAAGTATCATGATTAATAATTATTAAAAATATAAGTATTAAAATAAGTAGTAGCTGTCGATAATTATAGATTAGGGAACAAACCTACATATGTGATTGGTGATTTCTGAAAAGTCAGAGAGAAGAGAAAATTACAGAAAAAAAACAGAAGACAAATATAGGTACTCTGATTTGTTTACCAGAAAAGTCTGAAAATATTTAGTTTGAAGAAAAGAAAACAAATGACAGGGATGTGGTGTAATATTGTATACATAGTCATATATTTGTAGTGTTATTACACAGAAAAAAGAAGATGTATTCTTTGTGTTGCTCCTTGGAGCAGACCAAACCTGGCATAACTCAACCAAAACTAGACACTGCATGCTCTACTGGGGTGTGCTCAGTATTTGGGAAAGCTCTGTGTGACTTACAGGTGACCGAAATTTGAAAAGGGTTCCTAGAAAAGAAATAATTTTTTCTTTAGTTTCTACAACTACTCAAGCAGATAGTGGATTAAAGCCTTAACTGGCACTGGATGTAGGGGTCACTGGGACCAGATGACCCCGAAGGCAACAGTGGTCTCCAGTACTCAAGCGGTTATCTTCGTAGTTTCAGAAACCCTCCTAGGAAACTCTCTTGATGCGGCTATAACAGAAAGGTGTAAGAGCAAGTTTCTTTTCTTTTTCTTCCTTTTTTTTTTTTTTAAGGGGCGAGGCATGAGCAGGTTGGTATTTTTATTTTACTTATTTACTTATTTTGAGACAAACTTTTCCTCTTGTTGCCCAAGCTGGAGTGCAATGGTGCAATCTTGGCTTACTTCAACCTCCACCTCCCAGGTTCAAGTGATTCTCCTGCCTCAGGCTCCTGAGTAGCTGCGATTACAGGCACACACCACCATGCCCGGCTAATTTTTGCACTTTTAGTATAGACAGAGTTTCACCATGTTGGTCAGGCTGGTCTCGAACTCCTGACCTTATGATCTGCCTGCCTCGGCCTCCCAAAGTGCTGGGATGACGGGCATGAGCCACCGTACCCAGCTAGCATTTTTATTTTATTTTATTTTTTTATTGCATTTTAGGTTTTGGGCAACATGGGAAGAACATGCAAGATTGTTGCATAGGTACACACATGGCAGTGTGATTTGCTGCCTTCCATCACCTATATCTGGCATTTCTCCCCATGCTCTCTCTCCCCAACTCTCCACGCCCCACTGTCCCTCCCCTATTTGCCCTCAACAGACCCCAGTGTGTGAGGCTCCCCTCCCTGTGTCCATGTGTTCTCATTGTTCAACACCCACCTGTTAGTGAGAACATGCGGTGTTTGGTTTTCTGTTCTTGTGTCAGTTTGCTGAGAATGATGGTTTCCAGATTCATCCATGTCCGTACAAAGGACACGAACTCATCGTTTTTGATGGCTGCACAATATTCCATGGTGTATATATGCCACATTTTCCCTGTCTAGCCTATCATCAATGGGCGTTTGGGTTGGTTCCAGGTCTTTGCTATTGTAAACAGTGGTGCAATGAACATTCGTGTGCATGTGTCCTTATAGTAGAACGATTTCTAATCCTTTGGATATATACCCAGTAATGGGATTGCTGGGTCAAATGGAATTTCTATTTCTAGGTCCTTGAGGAATCGCCACACTGTCTTCCACAATGGTTGAACTAATTTACACTCCCACCAACAGCGTAATGTGTTCCTATTTCTCCACATCCTCTCCAGCATCTGTTGTCTCCAGATTTTTTAATGATCGCCATTCTAAATAGCATGAGATGGTATCTCAATGTAGTTGTGATTTGCATTTCTCTAATGACCAGTGATGATGAGCATTTTTTCCTATGTTTGCTGGCCTCATGTATGTCTTCTTTTGTAAAGTGTCTGTTCATATCGTTCGCCCACTTTTGAATGGGCTTGTTAGTTTTTTTCTTGTAAACCTGTTTTAGTTGTTTATAGATTCTGGATATCAGCCCTTTGTCAGATGGGTAGATTGAACAAATTTTTTCCCAATCTGTTGGTTGCTGATTCACTCTAATAACTGTTTCTTTTGCAGTGCAGAAGCTATGTAGTTTGATTAGATCCCATTTGTCTATTTTGGCTTTTGTTGCCAATGCTTACGGTGTTTCGGTCATTAAGTCCTTGTCTATGCCTATGTCCTGAATGGTTTTGTCTATGTTTTCTTCTAGGGTTTTTATGGTGTTAGGTCTTATGTTTAAGTCTTTAATCCATCTGGAGTTAATTTTAGCATAAGGTGTCAGGAAGGGGCCCAGTTTCAGCTTTCTGCACATGGCTAGCCAGTTTTCCCAACACCATTTATTAAACAGGAAATCCTTTCCCCCTTGCTTGTTTTTGTCAGGTTTGTCAAAGATCGGATGGTTGTAGATGTGTGGTGTTGCCTCCGAGGCCTCTGTTCTGTTCCATTGGTCTATATCTCTGTTTTGGTACCAGTACCATGCTGTTTTGATTACTGTAGCTTTGTAGTTAAACTCACAGGTAACAGTATTAACCCATTTTCTTTTTTTAGACAGAGTCTTGCTCTGCCGCCAGGCTGCTGTGCAGTGGCGCGATCTCGGCTCATTTCAATCTCCGCCTCCCAGGTTTAAGTGACTCGCCTGCCTCAGCCTCCTGAGTAGCTGGGACTATAGGCCCGGCTAATTGTTGTATATTTAGTAGAGACGGGGTTTCACCACATTGGCCACGCTGGTCTGTATCCCTTCACCTCGTGATCTGTCCGCCTCGGCCTCCCAAAGTGCTAGGATTACAAGCGTGAGCCACCGCGCCTGGCATTTTTATTTTTTCTCTATAAAAAAAAGATGATTGCCTTGTTTTCTACAGGAATAAGAATAAATCCAATATATCTATTTCTAAACTTATCAGAGGTCTTCTTCCAAATGGAGAATCCATTTTTTCTAATATGACTTGATTCTTCCGTGAATTCCTGCACTCATTTCACATTCAGTCATTACATGTCAGATTGTGATCCAGACACTGAGCCCAGAGCCGGAAGACAAATGGGCTCCCATGGAGGATCCCTGCAGGATGGGTGCGGTGGATGGTGGGAGGGAACACAGGTAATACACGGAACAACTATCTTATTAAAATAGGATAAAACAGACAGTAAAAAATCATACAAAGAAATAAAACCAGGTAAGATGATAAACATGAATGCCAAAAACTGCTTAAGAAAGGGTAGCAGGAAATTATTTTCTGAGACATAGCATTTATGCTAAAAGTGGAATAAGGAGACAGAGCCAAATTTTCTCAAAAATTCCGGGGAAAGAGGATGGAAGGCAGAGGGAAGAGCAAGGGCAAAAATTCTGAGACAGGAGGTAAGTTAGTGTTTCCAAGGAAAAGCTGGAGCTTTCATTTGAAAATCAGATTCTAAAGCTAAGAACCAATCTGTAAATACAGTACTATATTACTTCAACGAGAAAATTATGGTGTCAACCAGGAGTCCCCAAAAGTTTTTTGTTTTTACTTAAAAAGTCATACAAAATTTGTATTCTAGGTCACAATGTGCTAATTTAATTGGAGGAAACAAGGGGACTTTATTCATTCGTGTATCCCCAGAATCTAGCACAGTTCCTGGTTAGTATTTAATAGTAGGATATCGGTTGAATAAGCAAAGAAGGAAGTGAAGGCAGGGAGAAAAAGAGACAAGCAGAGAGGGAGAGGAAGCGAAACTCCGTCTCGAAAAAAAAAGAAAAAAGAAGAAGAGAAGAGGGAGGAAGAGAGGGACGTAGGAAGGGAGGAGAGAGAAGGGAAGGGAAGAGATGGGAGGAAAAGAAGGAGGAAAGGAAAGAGGAAATATTTGTTTTCATCTGGTCAGACACA